AGATGGATTGACTGGGCATAGGCTGGGGGCCACTCATACAGAGAACTGACTGCAGCTGAGCTGAGACATGTGTTTGAAGGTGAGTTGCGTTGGGTGGGACAGACAAGTGTGTTTCCCCGTTTGGTGGCCCTGCAAGCCCACTCAGCCACACTTGCCACCAGCCCACGGAGGCCCCTCTCCATCAACACCACAGACCTCCACGGGGGGGCAGCTTCTACCTCCGTCCAAGGCCAGGTGATGCCTTGCTCTGATCAGTAACATGCCCACTGTGTCTGTCCTTCCAGGGGCTCCCGTACAAACACCTGATCACCCACCACCAGGAGCCCTCGCATCACCACCTGATCAGCACGTATGACGAACATTACAACCGGCATAATGACAACCTGCCCCCATGCCGCACCTGGAATGGACACAAGTTGCTGTGGCTCCCAGAAAAAGCTGACTTCCCCCTCCTGGGTATTTTTAGAATTCAGGGTTTCTCCCCGTGTTGGGTGTAAGGGGTCCACACCTGCACAGGGCTGAGGTGTGCCCAGCTCACACAGAAGGACTTGCACGGGGACCCTAACTCCAAGAAGGTGTTAGAATGAGGTGATGGGGGAGAGTCCTATTTGCCCCCCAGGGCTGCCACCTGCCCTCTCCCCTTGACGCTGGGGTGAGGTTGGCTGTGTGATGAGGCCCTCACCTGTGCACCGAGGCAGCATGTTTACCTGGAGCACAGGTGGTAGGAGCAGCATCACTGCACACTTGTGTCAGTCATTCATTCTGTAAATAGTTACTATGTCCTAGGAGCCATGTCCGCTGTAGCATCTGGAGACACAGTGGTGACAAACGGAGGAATTTCTGCCCTCAAGAGCTGACATTCCCGTGGGGAGACAGATAAGACACCTGTAATGAATAAGATAACTTAGATCTAGTAAATAGGATAATTTTGGGCCGGGATATGTAAAATGGGTAATGGATAGAAAGTGAGGCGGGTCTGGGTGGAGTGAGGGATGGTTTTTCTTGAGGAGAGAGTTGAGTTGAGAAGGAGGGAGCCGTGCAGGGGTGAGGGGGAGAGCATTCCAGGCTGGGAACAGCGGGCGGAAAAGCTTCCAACACAGGAGTAGAGGGAGACCCCTAGGGGCTCACAGGCCACAGTAAGGAGTGCGGCTTGTCCTGCCCCTCCAGCAGCACCCAGACCTGGAAGGGGCTGACTTAGGCGACTGCCTTGAGCCGATTTACGTTTCAAGCTACCCCTATCCTTTGCATCCATCTTTCTGTCATGCTACCCTTCAATGCAAAGGGACACAGGTCAGAGAGTGAGCTGCTTGTCACTCTGCTTTCGTTTCGTAAGGGTTTCTATCAGAGATCTAACTCATAGTCCCTTACTGCTCTCTCCCCCAATTGGGGGTGAGGGACAACGATCTAAGACCCAGTGAGGCCACCCTCCGCCAGGTCATGGGGATGACTTTCTGAGGCCTCTAGCAGCATCTGGTCCCTCCTGAGTGCACAGGGAGTGGGCCCCACCCTGAGACTCTCAGGGGCTGGCCGAGCCAACACTCTCCTCCAAGCCTCCCTTCCTTCCGGGGCACTGCCAGCTGAGGTCCCTGGTACATGCCTGGGGAAGCCTCCAGGGTCCCACCACTTACTCCTGGCCTGTTGAGCCTTGTTCACTCTGAGCCTGCTTTCTCTTGCAGCTCCCCCTACAAACTATGGGCTCTGTGAGCAGCTGAAGCAGAGATGGCTCGCACCCAAGGCTGGCCTGCGGGAGAGCATTTACACCTCGTCCTACCCCCAACCACCACTGTGTATCCTACCCCCGACCACCGCTGTGTACCATGTCCCTGCGGAAGCATGCCATCCCAGTGCCGCCCCCTTGCCTGCACCCCGTCCCACGCTTCTGAGAACTGCCTCTCCACAAGCAGCACAAGCAGAACCAATTGGGACCCATTGTGCTATTGGGCCTGCCAGACAGCGGGCGGCTGCAAACACACCCAGAATTTTAAATCCGGACCGTCTGAGGGGCCCTTAGAATCATGGTCTGTGTTTTATGGTTCCTGCCCCTCCTTCGAAGCCACAATTAAAGCCCTTTGACACAATCGCGTGTCATGTATGTGCAGAAGACAGACTTAGAATGTCAGACGAAACTGGAAGGACCCTTCAGTTCCACTCCCTGGTTTCCCGTGAGGGAAGCTGAGGCCCAAAGAGGTAACACGACTCCTTCAAGTTTGCCCAATTTGGTACATACCCTCCAGGAGTGTCTCATCCAATGGAAGAAATAAATATAAGACACATCTCGAAAACTCCACAGAATAGTCAAATGTGGCTATGGGGTGGTCAGCACCGCAGGATGGTGTGGCAGGAGGGAGTCCAGTGTGGCTGTCACTGCCTCGAGCAGGGGTGCTCTGAACCCAAGGGCTCAGAGGAAGCAGGGACACGCAGTGCCTCCCATCCACTTCTGAGCTTGCGAAGGTTTTTAGGAGTTTGAGGATGGAGAGTTTTTCAGCAAGTGTTTTGAAGTGAGGGTGGACCCCTGACAGAACTCAGGTGCTGTCCTCACCCAGGAAGGAGCGTTCTCTGAGGCACGTTCTACACCCCCCCACACCCCCAATGTGGAGGCCAGCCTCGAGCTGACAACAGCACGTCCCTAACTGCCACCTCTGACTGTCAGGGTTTGTCGTGGATAGCCCAGTGTTTCTGTGAAGGGCCTTCCTCTGCCTTGTGCCTCCACCGCAATTGTTTGCATTCACTCCTGTAGGCAGAGTGCTTGGTATACAGTTGGTGCTTAATAATCATTGGCTGAGTGAATGAATGAATGAATGGACCATTGTCTCTTTGGAGCTCCTCAATGGACCCACACTCTGCCCTGCTCCTTGCATCCCACTCTTGTTCTCCAGTTTGAGCCTCTGTCTACCTGCTTCCCGTCAACGTAAGAACATTCAAACCTGTAGAAAATTTTCAGAAGAGTTTTTGGTTTTGTGCCAAACAGAGGATGCGTCTGTTTTGCAGTTTCTTTATACATTTGGAATGGAGGAGGGAATGTAAGGAAGAGAACCTGAAAGTGGGAGAGAGCGAGGCAGGGAAATCTCTATGATTGGACTACGGGATGGTTAGCAAGATGATGTGCTCTCTTGAGGGTGGCTGTGCTTCTGAAGGGTCTGAAAAAGAGGCGTTTCGAAGGTGTGTTAACCACCATGCACAAAACAATGGACAGGGTTTGTTTAAGACAAAGGTAAACCTTCCATATGCCTGGTGTGCGACTGCTCACCATGACCTGCCCAGTTAGGAATTTATGACCAGATCACCCTGTGAGGTTACTTTTGCTTAGATTTATTACAGAGCTGCACCCCATCCCTTCTTTTTATTTGCTCACATTCCCCAAACCCCTGCCCCAAGGTAGATCTTCGTAGAAGAGCTAGCATCCTTTTTCCTCTCTCTCTCTCTCTCTCTCTCTNTGTCGGAATGGGAGCATTTTGGAGCTGGATGGGACCCAAGAGGTTGTTCAGCTCAGCACCCTCAGTTTTAGATAAAAGTGTCTTGTCTAGAGCTGTGTAGCTGGTTGGGAAGAAACTAAGCAGGTGGCTGCTCTGTAAATCAAGCAAAGAGTTTCCTCCGGTCCCCTGTCATCATTTGCTGGGGTTGACTCTTTATCTCCCACATTTGGGGACCCATCTCAGGACAAATAGTCCAGAATTTCGGTTCTGTGCTGGCACCTCTGGGCTGTGCTGGCACCTCTGGGCTGTGCTGCTGCTTTCAGTGACTTTTCCATTGCGTCACTGAAGACACACGTGGATTTTCGTGTAAGGAAGTAAAACTTAGAACCCACAACCCGGGCCTTTCAGACCGCAGCCACCAGTGCACACAAGAACTCAGCCTTGTTCTCGGGGCGCGCTGGGTGCCCTTTCTTAAAGGCCTCTGGACCCATTACAAACCCTGATGAAGAGATAGCCACACATACACACAGTCTGGTTAAAATTAAGATGCACACCCCTCCCCCAACACACTCACGAAATAGAACCAAGCGATTGGGCACTAGGTCCTAAGGACTCTGTGCAAATGACCTGTTTGCGTGGCTGCTTCCACCCCAACAGCTCTTCCGTGCGCTTCTATCTGCACCCCCTCACCCCCAGGCCAGCTTTCTTTTCCATCTCCCATCCCACTTCCTCTTCTCCCTTCTTAGGCAAATGCCAACCGGCTCTTCAAATGGACCTTGGATAGATGAGATTATCACCCCCCTCAGGGAGAGCCCCCTTCCTGTGCTTTTTTCCTGGGCAGGTGTATTAATCATGTTTTTTATTTTCTCTGTTGTATGATGCTTTGAGAACTGAGGGCCTGGCTAATCCTGGAAAGACGGCCCTCCCAGGTCTAGCTAATTCCTAGAGACAATAAACCGCTTTCCTGGCATGGTGCCTCTCAGATGCAAACCTCCCAATCCAGAGCCTGTACCCCTAACCATTCACACACCAAGCCAATATCCCCCTGCCTTAAATCACTCCAGGACCAGGTACCCACAAACAGAGGCACCCCTATAGCCCAGAGCCTGCTGAAATTCTTTAGGCAACCCTAAACTTCTTTAGGCAACCCTAAACTTCTCAAATTTGCCTGCCCTGCGTCACCCATTCCTTCCCTTGGAAAATACAAGAGGGCTCTGGTCCATACTCTATCTTTGCTCCTTCTACCTCCTGACCAACCCTGGTGTTTCTCCGTGCGGCCCTGCGTAGTATGGCATGCCCCCTCCTCTTGAGGCCTGTAGGGTCTTCTTTCAAAGGCAGTTGTCTCTATGTCTGTCACCTTAACATACCGGATCAAAACGAAAATCCTGGGAACGTAATCAAGACAGCAGGGCCATGCCCGAACCAAGAAAAACAGCAAGAAAGTCCCTGCTGGCCTCGCTTTGTTTGTCCTCAGCACTCTCCTTGGTTGATGGGAACCTCTTTAACTGGCTTCCCCTGGCACGGGAAAGACTCCGGGCACCTGGTG